AAGAGTCTGCGGTGTGTGTGTGTGTGTGTGTGTGTGCATGTTAAGCTCAAGTATCACAACAAAAATACAAAGCAAGCAGCAACAACAAATTTTGTATAAATTTAATGTATTTTCTATAACAAACGCACAGCCTTTGCCTCAGCCTCACAGCCTCTGTCCGTACCCCATATATAACTTGGACTTCGACTTTACATATAAAAATTATAATAATAATCATGTTTTGCCTTTTCCTTTTCCATTTTTTTACATATATTTCGGCAACTGTGTGCTAAACTATTTCAAATGAAGTTTAAGTAGAAATTAGAATTTTCAAGTGCTGCAATGGGCTTTCAGTTTTGGACTAGCTCCTCCCTCTCTTACCCCCTTCTAAATCCCTGCCTGTGAGCTTTCCGCTTTCGGTTAGCTTGCTGTTGTTGCCCCACACAATGACATAATCCCTCATCTACATAAACATTAGAGCGAGAATTTAACTCAAAAGTTTTTAGTTTCGGTTTCGTTTTCGGTCGAGCTTCCACTCGCCCACTCCCTAGCCCACCCCTTATGTACATTTCTGTGTGTGTGCCCGAAAGTGTCCCTGGCATTTTGTTACTCTCTATATACATACATATATCAAAGTACATATATATATATAATATATCTATATAAGTATCAGATATGTGTATATAGGCACACATTGTGTGCAGGCTGTGCGTTTATGTGTGACGTGCACCAGATGCGAGTTTTAGAAATTAATTTGATAACAATTTTTTTCTCTATTGTTGCTGCTAGCTAGTGGTCAAGTGGGCGTGGCAATATCCATTGCGTACAACTGTATTAAACTATTTTGCAATAAATCCTGTTCATACTCTTAGGCTTGCACGCCTTAGAAAATAATGTGTATACTACGATTCACATTTAGAAATGTTAGATTTAACTTTTGTAAATGGGATATTTTGAAACTGCTTCGTAAGGAGATGCCATTGTAATTCGCAACCAGTTCTAAACCTTTCGATAACACTTTAAGATCTGTTGCCCAGCTACTTAACTGTTACTCAGAAGATCTGATATTGAATACCAAAAGTATGCTAGGTATAGTTGCAAAATACGTGAAAATAATAGATGCAGATACAGATGCCCAAGCATGCGAGCGACGCACGCACTGAAAACGTATTTCCAATAATTTTACTCATTATCCCTGGAGAAGTTTCTTGCGCCTGCCTGTCTTCGGCTCCTTCAGCATATTCATGTCCTGGCTGGGATGCAGGCGTGTGGGGCAAGTCAAGCTGGCCAAGTGGGTGCTACAAGGCGCGGTGAGTGTGTGTATGTATATGTATATGTAGTGGAGGGGCAGGGGCAAATGTGATAGGGAGGCGGCTTGCAAGCGTGTTGGCGTTAATGGTTCTTGATGAAATGAAATAATGGGTGCGTTTATTCACGTAATGTATTTGTATTTGTTACAGCAGCAACAACAACATATTTACAATAATAACACAGCTCGTAAAGCGAATGAATAACTGAAAGGAATGATTGAATGCCGGATAGAATGAAAGCGGCGCCCAAGCGACGACAACTACATGGCAAACGCCAACGTCGACGTCTAACAAAACGCTTTTCGTTAGTTTTCATTATTTTCCGCATTTAAGCGTATTTATTCCGTTGTTAATCGAATTTATTAAATGCAAACACGCCAACATATAGAAATGACTGCCATCATCCAACCCCAATTCGCACAATCACACACACACACACACGAGCAGTTGGCCAACACGCACACTCACACTACCGTGAACTGGGCGCGTTTGGTTTGGCTTAAGAAATGTTCTTCGGTTTACCTGCTGCTAATTTTTTTGTTTCCCTTACTTTGTATCCATTGAATGTCTCTATTGTTGTCTATATATCATCTGAAGTTCCAGTCTTAGATAGAACTGTAACTAAAAACAGTTTTTTTTTTTTTATTTCTATTTATTTTAGTCTGGTATTTAGGCATTTCGTGATAAGATCGTTCTCAGGCTAAGCAGTCTAAACCTTGGCTAGATTTTTCAAATATCAGTACTTGGTTTAAGTCCAAAACTCTCAACATCTGCAATTACCTATGGTATTAACTCATCTACAATTTGTCGAACTCTCTCAGCCAGATCAGTTCTGTCTGTTGAAATGGAAGTGTCAACGCATCTGCGACAGTGCTGAATGAGATTTTTATACGAATGTGGCACAACATAATGCATTTGGCCGTATGGAAGGAAGCAGCTGGCAAACAAAATTGAAAAAAACTTTGCGCATTAGCTGGCCAGCGCCAGTCGGTCCGGCCAAGTCCGAGCTGCTCTGTTTTCTCCGTGCCGTTCTGCTCGTGAAACTTTTGCATTTGGTTTGCACAAGAAATGAGCAAATGGTCTTATATGTCGATGATTTTTCTTCGCCCACGTATGTCGGCGCCAACTGCATTGGCGAAGAGATAACATGTGCCTGGGCAACTTTCTTGACGTCTTGCATCCAACAACGGACGCCGAAAGATGGCGCTGAGCTGCCATAGGGCTTGTTGTGCTGCCAAAAAGTCTTTCGTTTGCCTTTCTGAATATTACCGTTTGTCTTGGTGTTTTTCCTTTTTTTTTGGGGGGGTTTTTTAATTTTTACACACATTCAATCTACACACATATACACACACGAGCTACACCTCCCCTTTGCTGTTATTATTTTGGCTGCCATTTATTTGCTGTCAATGTTTCGACTGCCTGCCGCCTGTCCACCTCCAGTCAGCCGGGGGCTGCTCGCTCGATCCCTGCTCGATTTTTTCCAGCTTTGCTATCATTTTCATTTTAAAATGTCGCTCAGACCAATGTCGTGGACGGCAACGCCTTCTAGAGGTCAGCGCCAGCTCCTACGCCTTGTTATTCAAGTCCTTTTTGCGCTCCCAGGAGCGACACCGTCCCTCTATCGCCCTGTTTGCCCCGTCACCTTGGCGTTGGCTGCTACTTCTAGTCGTTTTGGGGCTGGCCACTTTATAAATGTTTCTGCAACGGATTTTGCAAAGTAAACTTTTTCGCCTTTGTAGTTTTTTGCTCAAACACTTGGTCCGCATCCGATTGTGACTGTGTGCGAAGAAGAAGGGCGCAAATATATTAAAATGCAAACCTAACTCATATTACTAAACTGAGCTGGCGTGGGCTGTACTGGACGGGATTGTAGAAATAGCGAGTGGAGACACGGGGGCTGAGCTTTCAAGTCCTTGCCACACATGTACGCAATTTCTAAGACCGTTTCGACCATTGCCAATGTGTTCAAATAAATCGAATGCACAAAAAAGCAATAAAATGAAATAAAATCTAAATATATGTATGTGTGCGAGGAGTGTCGTCCTTTTTTGTCCTTTTGCCTTGGCACTGTCCGAAGTCTAACGAGAAGCTGGAGGGAAGGACAGCTCATGACATAGAAAAAACAACAAAACACAACAACAGCAGAGAACAAGCCCAAGAAAAAGGAACTTATCATTTTTATCATTGTACAAAACTTTATCCTTTTCAGCTTGGGCCGTTAATATTTTCGATTCCGACTGCGAAATAGCCAAGTCAAAGCCCAAGTACAAGCCCAGTTCCACCGTTACCGCCGTCCGGAATTTCAAATGACTTTTCCCTCAGCCCGAACTGGGGGCGTGCAAGTCGAAGCTTATTGAATGTTTATGCTTTATTAAATTTGATTTCTTTGCAACTCGCTTTGAGGCACGGCATCTGCGACGTCCGTCCGACACACCGACCGACCGACAGGCCTACCGACCCATTCGCCGCGCCGACTGGTTTACCAAGGCATCTTCTAGTCGCTCGGCTCAGCAACTAACCGACCAGCCACCAGCCGGTCAACATTTGCTGCAATGATCTATGTGCGCTGAATATTAAATGGCATCGCCGGCTTAGCGGCGGCGTAGGCCAAGTCCCATTGCAGGACTGCTGGAGGTGCTCCAATGTGGGCTAAGGCACCATTATCATTTTAATGCGCGATAAATGCGACATTTGCGACGCTATACAAAGTGCGTGTAATGTGTTCGGCAACGCAAACAAGAAAAGCGATTGGGATGGGGCAAGTGGGCGGTTAGCAGCCTTAACGAATTCTTGACTTTTACGTTATGTGGAATCGAAACGGAACGCAACGATTCATATTTGTAACGGGTTTTTTCACAAGCATCCGGCTAGGCATCCCCCTACGCATAATATCGAATGGTAATCATAATCATAATAATAGTAATAGTAATAGTAATAATAATAATATTTTGTGCGTTATTCGAAACATTTGCACATACGTAAATGAACATTACGGCCGTTTCCCCTTCTATCCCGAATATGTATATAATCGCACTCCAAATGTCCTGGCCAGCAGTTGTCCGGCCAAACTTTGACCGTTGTCGGCTCTAATGCGACACGTGGCCCGCGCATATTTCTTCACACTCTGAGCCGATTGGCTGGGATTGGAATTGAAATAGGGTCCTCTTTATTGTTAGTGCTAGTTCTAGTGGGTTGTGGGTCTAATGATTGCCTCGATTTGGGCATCATACGACTAACTGTGTATGTGGCAAACTAAATGAGTGTTCTTAATTTGGCGCGCATAAGTGTTGTATTATCGATAGGCAAACATATCGTTTGTCAAACAATTTGTGAGTTTCGCTCCGTAACTTAAATCATAAACTAAAACTGCTACTTAAGAGTAATTTTTTAGACAGTATGCAATTGATAAGATTATGATTACAATAAACCGATAACAATCAATATACAGCGCAGTTAACTAAACTTATATGTACATGTTTTATTTTAATTTTTGGGTTTACATTTTTTGATTATTAAGGCCAATTGCTTGTCGAATTTGAATGCCCTGCCGTTTATCGGTTTATCGATAGCTGTCGATAGTTAGTAACGAGCTTCTAGTAAATGCAAATCATACGCAAATCGTTCGCGAACCGAAACAGACCGTTAAATCATACACAAGAGGCAAATACTCTATTATATTCACAAAATAGCTAAAGTGGTCTGGGTACTTACCAAAATCATTGCCGCCCAGGCCGGATGGTCCTGGCAGCAGGCCGGGAATGCCCTGCAAGCCCAGGAATGCGTTTGGGAAGGAGTGAGAGCGCTGATTGTCCATGCCGTCGAGTGTACCGTCGTGTTGGCCATCCCCACGATCCGAGGGTTCCGTATCGCTGCTGTTGGAATCTTCGCCGGCGCTCTGGCCGAGATCATGTTTCTGTATGAAATTCAAAAAGATAGAAAGTTGGGGTATTTTAGAAGTTACTAGCACCGCATCCAGAGGACTTTTTAGTTGTGTTTATGTTGCCCTATTTAAAGTTCACTTACCTGATTAGCCTGCTGTCCGTTGCTGCTCTCCAGAGCCTGGCCAAGCAGCGACTCTCGCAGCTCCAGGCTGCGATCGCGATCCTTGGACGTATCACGGCTGCGATTGCGAGTTAGCGGATGCTGTCCTGCCACGGGAAAGTCACGATCTATTAGCAGGCGCTCTGGACTGATGCCATGTTGCGCACGGAAAAGGTCAGCGCTCTTGATGCGTTTCTGTGGTGGCGGTGTCAGATGACTCTTCCGGCTGCCTTCCATATCGCTTAGATCCCAATGATTACTGCTGGCCTAAAGTGTCATAGAGATGCGTAAAGGGTAGTTAGTAAGGGCTAATGCATGTCACAATCAAATCGAGTGCAAGCTAACGGAACTGCACACATTACTTTGCTTGGATTTGGATTGGAGTTTCTTACGGGCGACGCTGCGGATGCCTTTAGCTCCTGAATGGCGGGCGTACCGCTGCTGTTGCTGCTGCTCTGTGCTGCTCCCTGGCTCTGGCCTTGGCCCTGGTTGATGCTGCTGCTGCTCCCACTACTCAATGGCAGATTGGATGCTGTGGCGACGGCTGCTGCGGCAACGGCCGCTGTCAACGAGGCTGCTGCAGCGGCGGCGGCTGCACTGGACGCTGGCACTGCGGCTGGCGTTTGCGGGGTGCTAAAGGTCGAGCTCTGGCTGTGGTTGTTGTTACTGGCGCTGTTGCTGCTGTTGGCATTGGGGTTGGAGCTGCCCAGCGCTGTGGGCAAATAGTTGCTGATTTTGTTGTGATTGCTGCTTTCTGCGTTGTTGTTGTTGTTGTGGCTGAGGGCCGCGGATAGAGCCTTGGCGTAGGGATAGCCACCATTGACATCCGCTAGGCCACGTATCTGCAGCAGATGCGCGGTTTTCAGAAAGTCGGGCAACTGCTCATGACTCACATTTACCTCGCCGTTGTACATGAAGCTGAAGCGAATAGGGGGTGACAATAGAAGAGCTGTAAATGGGAAACACTTTAAAATGGATTGTAATGCTCACCTTAGCAGGTTCTCAACATCATCGCTCCGTACATCGCGCAAGATTACAATGGGATGCTCACAAGGATTCGCCTTGAGCAGCTTGCGAAAGTATGGGCTGCAGGCGCTGAGCACCACCTTGTGAGCGGTAAAGGAGCGCTCATCGCAGGCGAGCGTCACATCCACAAAGTCCTCCTCGTCGCGCAGATGCCGGAAGGAGCTGAGTATGGACGTCTGGAAGTCATTCCATTTAAGCGCATAATGCTGCTGTGAATGGCCCAGCGGCGGCAGTGGCGGCGTTGCTGGCGATAGCGCCGTACCGGCGCCGGCGGCCGCTGTTGCCGCCAGGGAGTGCGTGTGCGAGTGAGTGGAGGTCGCCAATGGCGGTGGCTCCATTTTGACCACGCCCGCGTTGTTGTTCTCCGCCGTTTGCAGCTGAGTGGACTCGGTCATTTATAGGAACTTGTGCCGTGTCCTTGACTCTTTCGGCCTCAACGTTTTTGGTTCTTTCTCAGTTCGCTCGCGTGCCCGTCTATTTGTGTACTGTGTCTTAATGGGCTTGATCCTCGGTGCCCTTTGTTGCCGAATCCTATTTTTTAGGCCTAAATGCTTTTGGATTCTATTGTATTGCAAACAAATGTTTGCTTTGTGCAGCTCTGTGTGGAGATTCGCAAATATTTACAGTGCCGTTCCGCCAATCTTGGTGCTTGCTCCTGCTCCCTGTGCTGCTAATTGGGCGAAAGTTGTGGCAACCTCTTACGGCCTTTGTCCATTTTCACCGGACTTTTGGGGCCTCAACCATGGACGGAACGTTTCCTAAGTCGGATCGGGGTGGGGTAGCTCCTCTGTCTGTAATCCAAAATCGAACAAAAAAAAGAAAGAAACTCATGAGTCGTTGGCTCATTTTAGGTTCAATTGCCACCGTCCACAGCATACAGTGCGGCAGGTGGCCCCTCAGCAGCATTGGAAGCCCCATCATTAAATACTATTACCAATTATTCATACTTAAGCACCGAGACGACGCTGGCGGCTGGTGGCTGGTGGTTGCCCCGCACTATTCGCCCAGTTATTCAGTTGCTTGGTTGCCCAGTTTACAGCGGCCCTCCGTGGTGTCTACTGGAATCATTAATTACGCGAGCGCACCGAGCGGGCCACTTGTCGGGGGCATTAGACGCAAATCAATTTAATTTAACCATTTACAAGCAGCCAACAATGAAGCAACCGCCGCACTTTTGGGCCTGGCCTAGTCGATCTTTGAGTTTGAGTTACAAGCCAAAATAATTGTATAAGATCATTAGTTGTTTGCACCACGTCGTGTTGATCCATCAAGCTACAGGTTGAGGCACTGAGATGTACTCACACTTGCCCCTCTCCCGTCAACGTGAACCTCTACACCTGAATAGAACCCAAACCTGATCGATGTGCTGCCTTCAAAATATTTATAAACCCATTCATTTACTTCTGACACTGCTTGCTGATCCTCGCTTATGATTCTGATCGTGGTTGGGGGAATTGTAAGCGGAACACCCCTCTATCAAAATAATCACAGAAGCCTAATGCACCAGCTTTTCGATTGCAATTGGCGCCTGCATTTGTGCCACGCTAATATTTCATGCCACATTCAATATGAACTTGGAATTTTGAGTTTTGAAAGTCAGCTGTAGGTTCCTGATTTTTATTTGGGTTTTGGGTTTTGACTTGTGCATTTTCTTTATACATCTTCCTTGGATGTTTGTTTGCTCGGCAGATGATTAATGATAATCCGCTTTAAATTCGATTATGAGCATGATACAGTACTAGATTAATGTACAGCATTATGTACCTTCACTTGTGTTTGGCGTCAACGTATTGAAGCTACGAATACGATTCAAATAGGAACGGAAAAATCAATCTAAGCTTTCAGTTCCACCTATCTATTTGATAGTCTTATTTCTGGACTAATGTTGCAACTAAAAATATCCAATTTCCGTCCCATTTGGGGGTGAAAGAACAGCTCAAGCTTCCCCCTTCGAGGCCAACAAATGTGCGGGAATATATGTATCTGACTGTCTCACTATTTGTGCGCTAATTTATGAAGTAACCCAAAACAATTTCATCATAACACACTTGCCGACAATTATTTCGTTTATTGAACAAACATTCGTATCGCATAAATTCGAAAGGGCAATAAGAACAACAACAGCTATAACTAAACAAAACCAACCTCATATATACGAACAAAAAAAAAAAAAACAACAAAAACGCGCACCCGGTTGGTTACCAAAAATATGTAAATGTAAACGAAAAAATATATATTATGTGTATATATATAGATAGGATGATTCCGGTGAGTGTGTGCGTGTGTATCTGGGTGTGTGGGTGCAACGCAATTGCATTTCTCACGTTAGCGCAGAATTTACAAAAAAAAAAAGTGTACAGCTAAAAATGGGAGTCAAAGCGCAATCTCAATTCGCCTGTCTAAAACAAAACATATCAAAATTTGCGTGGAAAAACAAAAACCCGTCCAAATAAAAAGGCCAAGCGAACACACACACCCACACACACTCAATGACACATTCTGTGAAGTCTGTGTGAGAAAGGAAAGGGCATATCATAATAACAAATAAATGTAAATGATAATAGTAAATAAAAAACGAATTACTAAACAACACAGAAACCGCTTCATATCCAATCATATGATTCTCCATACATATATACATATATATCACAAGAATACGTAGTACACGATATGCGTGCAAAGGAGTTTGGGGTTGAGACAAGTAACAACAGTTGTTGTTAGACAAGCGGAAGCACACATAAGGATAACAACGTTTATGCCAACTAACTATTTGGGTAAATTGATACGGCGCCTTGGTAAATGAAGCAACGAGCCCAAATAAAGGCAGAGAATACAACACAACACCTCCTCCCCTTCCTTCAATACACTTAGAGAAAAAGGACGTTTCACATACTTGCAAGATTAGGCTATTTTGTGCTCATTTTCCTTAAGGCATGAAACATAATTGACTTTAGGGATATGAAAGAATGAATTTGGATTTTAAAAAAATGTATAGCAATAGTTTCCAAACTTAATATAAGGCTTTCAAAAAGAGTATCAACTTTCTTGTGATAATTACAGTTTTTAAGCATTTCATTATGAGCCTAAAACTTTTTTTCTGAGTGTATGAACTACCCGAACTTGCACGGCATAAAATATCGGGCTAAGCAAAAACGTTCCGTATAACGACCATAACGATTATTGCGATTCGGCGTCAACGCAATCAAATAATAATTTTTAAACCAATTTCATTGTTTTGTTGGGGTTTATGTACTCTTAATCATGTGAGACTTTATAAAGGGACCAGCAGAATATTGTTCTACTATAATTATTAGAATAGTCATGTAACACATATAAAATTATAGTTTAATGCATGAAATTGATTAAAATATGTCAAAATAAATCATTTGCAATATGTAAATTATAAGAAAGTCTGCACACACGCACACACACATTGGACAATTGGGTTGAAAGGGGATGCAAGCAAATTAGTTAAAAACCAATTAAAATTGCGCATAGGCCGCACACGCAGGCACAATTTGTAAACCAGTTTAATCGTAAATATTATACACATATATATTTATATATATATATATATATATATATATATATATATATGCATATATGTGTGTGTATAGATATAGATAGACACACACAACCAATACACACACTTGTGATGGGAAAAATGTTCTAAAAATCCAAATTAGAATGTCAATAAAATACACTTTTAATGAAATAATTAATTAGATTTTGCACATCAATAAACCGACGCGCATTTTCCAACCTCACAAATAAATATATATATATATATTTGTATATGTGTATATAAGCATATAGTATGGCTTTATATATTTCTATGTATTCGATGTGTATTTACTTGCATTGAGCGGTCATCGCATTTGGTTTTAGTTGTAGGCCCACTTGGTTTAGAGGCGCCCCTCCCCCCCTCACCTGTCCCATATTGGGGCCAATTTTGTTGGATTTCAGTTCAATTTTTCTTATTATTTCTGGTTTCGATTTGCTTTTCGCGCTGCGCGCGATTTATTCGATTTTCAATTATTTAAATGGTTTTCACTTTAGTCCCACACATTTCTAATTTGCATTTGTAGAGCAACATGCCCGGCACCGCCCCCAAACCCCGGCCTCCTCACACCCGGGGCGCGCATCAAAGTGCCACTCAGCGGACAAAAACTAAAATGACTGGACAGATAGATAACAGAAACAATAAGAGCCACAGCAATGGGAACAGCAAGCAGAATCGACTTGCCTAATTGCCTCTGAGACTTTAAATTGAGACATGAAATTGAATAATTCAAAATAATTAGCCAGCAAGAAGGCAGGCAGTCTTACGGGGTCGCGTAATTGCATTAATGATTTTGATAAATGGCAATCGCCCAAGTCTTTGACTTTGACGCATCCGAATGCCAGCGATATGCGTAAATCATACACCTGGACTTGACAAATAAATCAAGCTTAAATATTGGTTAGAAAAAAATTATAAAATAAATCGTTTCAGTAGAACTACGGGAAAGGTGTAGCTGTAAGGGAAAAGTGAAAATTCATAACTAATTATTTTTACAAAAGATAAAAGTGTTACCAATAAAAAGCTGGGTTCACAAATAAGGGTTAGTTTTCACCTATTATTATTAAAAATCTCTGAACTATGTTAAGAAAGTTAGTCTTGACTATATTTGGCACCAGCGCATATAGATAATACTTAGACTGATTAGAATGTGTATAGAAAACTAGTCCGTCAACTTTGAGCTTCAATTTCGCGCAAAACAATAGTTGGATCAACTTGGTGTATCAGCTGCGTGTGGGCAAAACTGACTGGCTGTCTTCGCGATCCATTTCGCTATTCGTGGTCGTAGTCGTTGTCATAGCCAAATGACCGCAAATCAAGTCGAATCGCCCAAGCTGCTAATTAAACTAATTGAGTAATTTCAAATTTCAAAGCCGAGCATCAAAGTACGAAATTAAATGAGCAAATAGACGAGATACGACTAAAGATATTACGAGCACGGGTAGGCCAATAGCGTTCACATATTTGACAGGGCCAGCGATAAAAGTAAGCAATAAAATTAAAAGAATAAAAGTGAATAAATAAAAAACACGCTGGCATTCCAAAGCGCAATGGAAACCTGAACTGAGTGCCACACTTGGGCGGCTCGCAGGTGGATATGGATATGGGTTCTTACCCCACCCAAAACTCATCATTCACATGTCTCTGTGTGTGTGTGTGTGTAGATTTGTATCTTTAGCTGTTAAACGCTGCACGCTGATTGAGTAACTATGACAAGCGGTCAAATTGTGCAATAGTTTAATTTGGTACAGTTTTTTTTTTTTAGGTCTTATGAGTACCCTCACCCACACAGAGCTGTGGAGTATTTGGTTAACCTGTGCTAATTAATTTCCAACTTAATCCAAATGACGCTCCTAATGGGGTGGGCCAGCTGATAGGCATCTAATGGGCCGCAATTAGCTGCGCAGCCGAAACGTTTCGCATGCTATAAAGATGTGGCCAAATGTATGCAAATGCGGCAGCACTAAAAGGAGTTTCCAACTTTCTTTGACCATAATACAAACAGATATAAATACAGATACAGATACAGATACAGATACATTTACAAATACAAATATAGATACGGATAAATTTTACGCTGCCCGCTCAGTGCTTTTTGATAAGTGTCAATGAACTGCGCGACGCACAACAATAAAATAAAAAAGTAGAAAATAAATTGTTAATATTGAGAAATGGGAAAAATGTAAAAACAGACAAAAAACAAGTCACTATACTAAAATCCCCCCAAAAAGTAATAATAATAATAATATAGAAACATATGAGTATATCAGCTACAATAGCAACAACAACTGAATAGTATTCAAAATTTACATAAACTGGCCATAAATTCAAATAGCCTGAGCCAAAGCGTTGGTTGAAAAAGTATCTGATAGATACGTAGCTGCATCATTATTCGAATACAATTAACGCCAAGAGAGAAAGCGTCCATCTATGTACAACTAGCATCAATGTATGTGTGGTGTGTATCGCATATCTACCAAACCCACTACAAGCTAATTTGTTGTTCAACTCGAATATTTCCCTTCAGCATTGGAAAAGCAATAAAAGCAAATCAAAGTGAAATGCTCAGCAAAAAAAAAAATACTACACGATCTCCAGTAATAGAGCAAAATGTTTAGGGCTTGTACTTAAATATATATATATACATATAATTTATTTAGTTTTTTGAAAGAAAAAATCAAATAAAAATGGTAGATATGTTAGTGTCATTGCCTTCGAGCTGAGCGTGCCGTCTCACTCTTCCACTAGCTGCGACTCTTTCTCGCTTTAACTGAATGTCTACAACTTATAACATTTAATACATTGTTCGGTTCGGTTTTTATGTGTATCTCATTTTGTAGTTCCCCTGTCCACTCTTCCTCCAATGGTTCGGTTGGTGTACCCATCTGCCCTTTGTTGTCGCTCCTCGGCTGCTCTGCTGATCTCTCGCTCCATCTCCAGCACGCTGGCCTGTAATGCGTTCAGGCAGTGGCCACGCGTATTGGCCAAGTTGTTGGCGCTCGCGTTTTTGTCATTAAATTTGCTTTTATTTCATTGGTTAACTTGTTTTCTATTTCTATTTGTTTGTCATTATATATACACTGGCGTGTGTGCTTGTATGGTGATTGTGTTTGTGCTTGTTGCTTTTTTTGTTTCTTGTTGCTGTATTGTTTCGTTTTTCAATGCTTCATTTAACGATCGTGTTTACATACCTGATCTATCTACATATCTCGCCCACGGTATTTCATCTAATTATTTTGATTGTATCAACCATTTTGTCCCAATTGCGGGTCAGCAACTCGAATCTGTACTACTTTCTGTGTTGGACATTTTTGTCTACTTTTTCAAAAATGTTGCTTTCAAATCAAAACTGTCTTTCATTTTCATTTTCTCGCTATCTCTCTCTCTCTCCCACTCTCTTAAGTTGACATAAGAAATTTAGTTGATGAAGGAAATGTTAAAGTATTTTGTTGTTTATTATTTTTAACATTAACAAAACCATTTTAAGTGCCTTGACAATAATATGTACTATATATTTTCGGTGCTAGTTAAACCTTTTGCATTCGCTTTAATCTTCTAGTATCTAAGCTGATCTCTGTCAGTATTTTCTCACACTGGGCCACTGTGTCATTAAATGAATTTTATATAGTCAATCGATACTCGAGCACTTGGCTTGAATGTTTTGATGTTTTTTTTATGTGCCGATTTTGTTGCTCGTAGTAGGTTAATTATAAAATTAACATTAACCGACTGACAACTGGTCGGCCAAGGTTCCATTTGCACGCCCCTGCCCCTGCCCCAGCTCCTTTCTCTGAGCTGACAGTGTCAACACATGCGCTGATTTGTGAAGCGGAAGGTGTTCGTCGCATCCAAATATATATTTCCCCATACAGAGAGTAGCGTCTATGTTTCCAGTTCGCCTGTCCCTCTTGTTGGCCCCCTGCCGCCCCTCATTCCACAGTTCTGCAGCCACGCCCCTGGTACTCGTTTGGGGTACGATAAATTTCACATGACATTATTAGGTGACTCTTTTATTGTTGTTGTTGCTGTTGTTGCTTCTGCCGTTGTGATTATGTCATAATTTTAGGAAAATGAAGCGCTCAACCAAAATAAATTAAAAATTGCTTTCATGCATGAATTGGTTGCGGGGGCCAACGGAACGCGGTCGGCGCCCAACAACAACAAGAACAACAAGAGCAGAAGCCACCACGCAAGTACGCTGCGAATCTTGGGGTATGTGAGCCAACTTCGCTATCCACTGTATCCAAATATAACGTCAGTACCTCACATACGGATCGATCGGCTGACTGATGTCTAATGTAGCTCACCAACAACCCACACACACACACACACACATGTGTGTGTATGAGGCTTAAGTGTTTATGGTCGATTTGAAGTTTATAATGGATAATTCGTTGCTGCTCTCATTGCCCATCTTCAAATTCATATTCAAATCGAGTTCAAATTTTGAATGAGAACTGAATAAAGTGCGTAATATTCAATTAAAGTCATTGTTATTAGTAATTTCCTTTAAATGTGCAGTCAGATAGCTTTTGCCGTCGATCGCTATAACGGCCTGCATATCATCGCATCGAATCGATCTTCATTGATTGATATTCGAGTGCCATCAGATCTCGATGTGCCGTCCCCATACCGGATAAGTTCATCAATTTTCAATTTGTGTGTATTAAGGCGACCTCCCACACACCCACTGGTTACCCCTTCCGCTCCGGCTGCTCGCCGCTATCACTTGCCCGAGCTGATCAGCCCCATCTGCTGGCATAATGAGCCATTATGCAAAACCATATTTTGCTAATGAAGTAGAAAATTTCCACGCACGGACGTCTTTATTAAAAGTAATTAAGCCTCTGTAATTTTCATTTGTCGAACAAATTGCAAAACGGGGTGCAACCTATGAGCTACCGTTTTATGCCAGTCTCATATGCTACTGGGTTTTGATGCCCATATTTTTAGGGGAATACAATTCAAAACTAAACACAACAACTAAGTCGCAAACTATTGTATTTATCTTACCATATTTTGGTAGATTTCAAATATGGCTAGACTTAAAATTTAGCATTCAACGGCTGTACAAAAATATCTACGCGTTACAATATTTTCAGTAGAACGAGATATTGTAAATAAAAAGTTAAATATTTGCATTAAAATTTGTAAAATTATCACATATAACCAAGCTTTAAATTATACATGGGCGTGTATCAGGTTCCAGAAAATGAGTTTCTCTATCACGCAGAAAAGCACTACCTTTGACCGTCTCTAGTTTGATGTTGGGTTCTAGGATGTGTAAAATCGGGACTACGAATCGAAAGGAATTGCAATTCGAACCGTAAACCGAACCAAATTCCGCCTATATCATACGCAAATGAATAATGCCGGATTTTTCTGAATAAACCTAGCTTATATGTATAAACATATATGTGTCAAACTTCAAACGTCAAACGTTAAAGGTCAGTATACTTTGCATGCGGATAATCCGATTAATTGGATTTTTTACTATGGTCATAATCGACATCAAATCACATTTACCTTTGGATGTCTCTTGGCGTCAGCAAAGCACGTAATAACTGCATATCTCAATTTGTACAAAGTTCATTTCAAACTCGATCAATTGTAAAGTTATGTGATTTACACGTTCAACATTGTGTTCCTAAAAATTGGATGTTGTTGTATGGAAGAGCTTTAAAAGCATTTACCCCAAAATAATGATTGCCTCCACTTTGTTGTAGTTGCTATTTGTGAATCTGATTCTGTTTCTGTTTCTGACCGAATATACACAAGAGTAACAAAAATTGAACTCAAGTGCAGACAATTGAAGCTGTTCAGAAAATCGGCGCGCCAGTCTTTAAAGAGGAAATCAAGGGGCGTTCTATGCATGGACGCACCCCTTTGAAGCAAAAAAAAAAAAAAATAAAATAAAAACAGAAGAACAAATCTTTGCTATTGCCATTTGAGAATACCCTTACTTTTTACTCAGATTTTACTTTTGATTTTGACGATTTGTTTACTTGTTGCAAGCAGTTATTAATCGAGTCGCTGGACAGTCGAGTACTCGCTGCGACATTTTGTTAATTGATTTCAGCGTTCGGCTTGGGAGGAAGCCGCAGGGCGTGGTGGGCGGAGGCACGTTCATTGTTTTGCAAATAGATATATGTTTGGACCGCAGATGTACTCGATGTAGCGCTCTGCTCGACAGAGATAGAGAACTTTCAGTTCTTCACAATTACGCCGAATTAAAACTCATATTGCGTCGGTCTTTGATTCTATTAAGATTGTTAACCGCGGGCAGGCGTCCGGTGTGGGCGCTCCAAGGGGTGCACTCTTATTCGAATTTAACAACATCAAATGAGCATTTCAATTGCGTGGCATTCAATTAGCGAATTGATTTGCCGTTTCACTTGCTTATAAACCAGACCAGACCAGTAGTTAACTCTACATTGGCCGGCAGTCAAATATATACTCACATTAAGTGCTGGCAGTACTTGTGCTCCGATCCGACGTGATCTGTAAATAGACAACACAGGGCGAAAACATTAGAGCAAGATCTTCTATAGTTTGTAGAACGAAACCGTATGATAAAAGTGTCGAATAATATAAAATTTATTGCCGCCCCTCGATTGTCTTGAATTTCGATTCGACACGAATCCGTTGCGAGCGTGCCCAAGTCTATAGAGAATTATACACAACGGATCCCTTTGGGTTTTTGTCTACCTGACGTTACGTTTTCTAATTGCAGTCACTTAGCACTTGGCTGAAACGTCTGTGTAGCTGCATTTGACCAAGCATCAAAGTGCACAACAATTGCTGTTGATTTTTCCAAGATTTTGTTACTTGTTAAACCCAAAAATAATTTTCCTGCATGACAGTGGCCGTTTTTTGTTTGCTTCGCATCCAATTCCAAGCGCAAGCAGGATAAAAGATTCAGGACCACAAAGCAAACAGATGGAACCGATGTAATTGTTTTGACTACTATTCTGTTATTGTTATGTTTTTATGGAAGCGAACAAAAGTCCCGATGCCAAAAGGCATGAGGATAACAATCATATTCGATTTTGCCTTAGCCTTTGACATTTTAACTTCTTTCCGAAGACAAGTAAAACTCTTAACTATCCGGGCACGATATGTGCAATCACTCAGATGACTCATTAGACATCAGCTAGCTCTTTAAATTACACTTAAGGGTCAGCTCTTTACAGTAAAGCTCCCGTGTTCCAAACTCCCAAGAAGTTCAAGAAGAACTTCCACAAAAATCGAGAAAACAATAAGCAAACTAATTACAAATACGCGTGAAAATTTTGACCCCCACGAAAAAGGGTTCACTTTGCGTATGTCCCATATTTATGCCGCGGTGGGCGGGGGGAAAAGTTGCGGGGGCAATGTAAAGCCAAATGGAGGCAGCAGAAAATTATGCGCTGCAATTTTTATTGCTTCATTGTTCTTTTTTTCCCCTGTTGTTGTTGTGACGATGACTCCTGGTCAGCGGGGTGGGAGGGCCGGTGAATTGGGTTCTTTGCATTGTTTGCGCTTTGTTTGGACGCTTTCGGGTTAATGTTAATTACCAAAACTGCTTCGGCACTTGGCTGACCGACAAAACCCAAAGCAATTAAAATTTTTATGACGCACTGAGTTATTACTTCAAATCCACAAACTTGAGTAATGCCAACGCCTCTCCAAAAGGACGTGAGAAATTTTCAACTGAAAAGGAAAATGTACGCCTCCGACGAAGAAAATGTGAAAAAGATGCGCACAACAACGGCAGAGATATTAAAAAGATTTATTGTTTTATGATATCAAAAACAAAAAAAAAAAACTAAAATAAAAGGTAGCAGCATGCCCTTCAGTACGGCTCCCTTGTCACGGCTGTGCAATTGGGTATCTACCTGTGCGGCTAGAGGTCAAAGGTTGAGCCGGCGCTGCCACCGTGCAGACCGCATCGGATCGCAGTTATGGTACTTTGATGATGCGTGTTGCCAATCGATATACGCTTTCTTTCCCTACACTGAAACACCGAATATCGAAGAGACTTTATAAAATAGAAATGCTGTAATTAAAGTCTAACTGTCAAAATCCAATAAATTATTCAAGTCTATCTTAGATGGCCAAATTCGTTGGCTCTTGGCCATTTAATTGATCAAGCCAAACAAACAGCCAAAGAGCCAGCTGCGACTGTTTTTGTCTTCTCGTATGTGTTCACCAATAATTTACATAAACCAATTCGACTTTTTACTACTCCGACTACCTCTTAAAGTTAAGCTTCAAGTGAAAATGTTACCAAAACTGAAGTTGTGAAAGTTTATTAATTAGACAAAGCAAGCAGACAAGTCACCGCAGAGCCAAAACCAAGGCGACTGCGTTGATCTTTAGTCGAATCTCTAAAAAGGTACATACATGTAGGGCCATAAAAGCTATTGATAATTTGTGTACAATGGTCGTAGTTAGAGCTTACAATCAACGATAACGGCGGACCTCTTCGGTAACAAAGGATTGCATGATAAGGACGCATATCAATTACAGTTACACGAGTTTTGCAGCCAAAAACAGTGCGATTAACATAAAAGGGCAGCAAAGCCAACAAAAACATCGACCCGCAGTAGTTAAAAAAGTAATAGGCGTAATAAGAATAATTGGCGCTAGATCCAAACTCGTGTGGGTGCTTAAAAGGGGACGGGCGTGGTGGCGGCTGCGAGCCAGTGCGTGTCCTCAGACTGTCTAAGGGTTGACGGTCGGGTTGGAGGAGCAGCAACAGTGGCGAAAGCGTTGACTTGTGACCATTTCATAAATACCGTTATAAACAAATTACGACAACAATAATGACCCAACAACAACAATGATGGCTACTAACACGGTAACTAACTAACAACAACAACAACAACAACAATAACATATCCACATGGAAAAAAGGGCTAACAGGATAAAATTCACAGCAGTAGGCAGCAAAAACAACATGAAATTCGTTTTTTATTGCTCACATTTACACATGTAAAAGTGACATCCACCAAACCTAATCCCCACCCCCACCGAACACCCGCTGACCGCTGCCCCCTCTTGACCTTAAGCAAGACACAACGCACACTGTGAACGAATTTATGAATTTCTAATGAAATTAACCGTAATGGCCAACTGTAACACATGCATGGCATATTTATCTATACACTCAGAGAAAAACTGAGAATAAATCCAGCCAAGTTACAAATATTTTAACTTTATTTCAAAAACATTTTTTAATCCAAAAGTTTCTCAAAAATACTGAAATACTTCCATGAGATTGCTTTGCTCTTGTTTTAAGTACAAAAAAAATTTACCTCAAGCGTAATTTTTCTAATAAAATATATAGATATATATAGATTTAAGAACAAGAATTTAGATTTTCGCTAAATGTAAGGTTTATGAATTTCCCTCCTAAAGTCTCTGAATAGGGACACCACCGTTTGCCACCTGGGCAGCGAGTACCGTTGTTGGGGAGGGTGTTTATTTGTCGACGGGTCGCGACTATTTAACACACACCCATGCAGATAGCCGGCGGCCGAGAACAAAGCTGCTGTTGACCCCAAGACCCGAACGCGAGCCCAAACGAAAATCCGACTAGCTTGACGTACAATTAACGGTTACCCTTCCTTCGCCTTGCACCTTTCGACTTGCCCAGTTGCAACGCACATTGTAATTTTTGGTAATAAAAAATTTGTACTTCATAATTTGGCGGGCGGCTCTAGTCCTTGCGGGCGTGTCGCGTGCCCTGCGTACCACAGGATAATTGCCGCCATTTGAATATTCAGCAGTTTCGGTTCGTGTTACCCCAAAGCACTCCAAGCCAATCCCAGCCAGCCCAGCCAAACGATACAAGTGCCCAAGCCCAGAACACAGCTCGGAACAATTTATTTCTGCGTGTCGTCTGAATCACCTTCCAGTTAAAGCCAACGACTTCACGGAGTCAACTGTCCAGTTAGGCTTAAGTAGGTATTAATTTCTCCCCAGTGACGCGTTCGTCCATCCGTCCGCCAGCGGTTCCTTCTGCCACATAGGAAGTTTGAGCGCTGGCCGCGATTGCATTGCCACACAACTTTGTGCAGGCTCATCGATACACCACATTTTGGGGACAAGTGGGGGCGACTGGGGAGCTAGGGTGGTGATCCGGCCAATGACCAGACCAAAAGAAACACCCAAAGTTGGCTACAGACCCGGGGGCAACGGCGGCAGTTACTCACAAATACAATCGCGTAATTAATTAAGCACGTCAGCTGGACAGTGGACAAGACTGCCTCGACCATTATGAAGGTGACGCACAGTGGGATTTCTCAATGAGACTTACGAAATTAAATCGAAGAAAAAGTTGACAGAGCTTCAATAACTAAAATTATAGACTTAACATTTATTAAAGCTATTTAATTATGCTACCTTTGAAACATATATTATTATTAATATGATAATATATTAGGAAAATCTTCAATCCCGCTTAAACCAAAGCGGTTTGAATTCAAAATTCCAAATTTAAGACGGATTGACTGATTCAAGATCAGCGCAACCTTAGCCTGAACCATACTTTTCTTGTATATAGATAGTTAAGAATATTATTTTTAGATTCGAGGCAAGTTCTTTTTAGAAACTTCTTATTACCCTCCTTGTTATTCTTAGTCTAGTTCCACTGTGCAGCACTTCTGGCTGTCAGTAAAGCCTCATGCTGGGCACGGGTTTATAACCTGTCCAAGCCACACGTGGGAGCAGAGACAGGGCGACAGGGACACGCATTGTATTGGGCTGCCGCAAACACACCTCAAATCGCGTTTTGTCCTTTATCAGGTAATTCACTTTTTAACTTACTCTTCACATTTCATTTTGTAATTCCACCTTTGGATGCGCTGCTCATTGGGGTCTTTTTAATTTTTATTGTTTTCTTTTTTTTTTTTTGTAATTGCTTGCCATTAATTACAGCAACAAGACAATCAATGAGGTAGATGGAGATGCGTAACGCAACAACAATAACAACAATAACAATAACAACACTTGAAGCGCAAATATTTCCGCTTGTGCTTGCGGTTAATTTTATTTATAAGTCGCAATGACACACCTTCCACTTGGATTTACGATCTGCCGCATTAACGGTTAATGAACAGCTTACCAAGTTCTGCCCAAGAAAGAACAGTTGAAATGGGGAGGGGGGGGGGGGGGGGGGGTGGCTGAGCAGCAAAAGGCTAAAAGTAGTTGAAGCAATTGCCCAAGCTAAATTCTCTTTTTCGGTTGCATCGCCTCTAATAGAACTCCCCCAATCTGATTTCCTTTTCCGTTATAGCCGCAGCTCTTGCCTCTCGCTCGCTCGCACCCCCTCTCACTGGCGTACTCTGTCGGCGAATTCGAACACGTTCGAAGCGACACGAAGTGCAAGAAAGACAACAACGAAGCCAACACGAAACCAGGCAATGCTTGTATGTGTGTGGGTGAGCGAACATTCATTCATGTTGCTTACTCCAACGATTCGCAAGCCGGCAAAACGCCAAAGGAAAACAATAACAAACCTCAGCTGAGGAATTTAGACGAAAACTTAAGAGTCGGCGTTCACAAAGAGAGAGAATGAGAGAAACAGTAAGAGTGCAAGTGCGAGTGCGAGTGCAAGACTGCATTCAACTATTGCACAATTGGCCAAAAAGCGATGGCAGACTTGACTTCAATCTGGCCATGGCAAAGGTGTTTGGATGCTATAACATCATCTACGACTCTAAGAGCATGAGTAATGTACATATATATGCATATGTACATATGTTTTTTTTGCAAATATCTTGAGATATTTTTCAGTAAAATTGCAAGCTTTGCGCTTGGCGAGCGGCCAAAAAGCGAGTCAGCAAATCAATAATTTTCATGTGGCAAAAGAAACGGTGCAAAAGTAAGCAAGAAATTGCATTTGGGCTTCGACTTGGCCAACGCATTTCCTATTGCAGCTCGTTGGGCTCGTAATGGCCAATCCCACGAAGTCTAAAAAACGAACAGCATTATCATCAATTGAGATTGCATGTTGCCAAAATCATTATGGGGTTTCCCGGTTTTGTCCCGTCTGACAAATGCGAAACAACACCAAGCGCAAGCATCGAAATCAACAGAAAATTCACATAGCATAAAAATCATATAAAGCAAAGCCAGAGCCGTGAAAAAAGCGAACAAGCGAGCTAAAGCGAACGAACGTATTGGCGACCATGAAAAAGGGAAGCAAGTAGATGTTGGCGGTGGCTGGGGTTGGGGAGAGCAGCAGCAGCAGCAGCAGCAGCAGCAGCGGCGGCGAAACGCGTGGAAAACAAAACGTCACAAAACGCAGACAGTCTTTGACGTCGACGTCGACGCCAAACTTCGCAGTGACGATGACACGTGCTTTTTTCAGCTGTTTTGTGGAAAACTGGCAAATTGTGCGAAAAAAAGGACAAAAACAAAAATCACAAATGAGAATATGAGCTGGGGCAGCAGCAAGAGCGCAAAGAGCGAGACAGAGAGCGAGCGAGAGAGAGAGAAAGGCACACGCAGCCCAAAACGAAATCAAACAGCAAATAAAATGGAGAAGGAGAAGCCAAGCCTGCAGGTGGCAGCAGAGTTGCATGGTGGTATGCGTGTGTGTGCGAGTGTGTGTGTGAGTGTCTGCTTATTCAAGATGTGTGTGTGTGTGTTTGGATGTGTTGGCTCGGGCTGCCGACAGACGGCGTAGCTGGTCGTGCAGTCTTTTTGGCGCGTGACGTCGACAACTGTGTGTGTGTGTGTGTGTGAGTGTGGAATGGGGAATATGGTCACGAGGGGGCAGCTGGCAAATTGCATTATTATGCGAGTGTCTGCAGTCTGCAGTGCAGCAGCGACGGCAAACGAATGGCTGGGGCAGTAGCACAACAAAAACAAATTGCAACAAAATACGCAAACAAAAACAAAATCGTACGTCTGCCCCATCTTCCGCCTTCTTCTTCTCCATGGCGATTCTATGGCGATTAGGCGAACCACACGCAGCAGTAAATAGTTACAGTGGGGTGTGTACGGTGGGCGGATTATTGGGGACAGACATTACATGCAGTTTTGTTCAAAAATTAATAGAATTTCATAAGCATTCGGCTCTTTCTGTCTCATTCTCATGTGTGCATCGCTCTCTTTTCGCTGTTGTGTTATTGTGCCCACGCTTGCTCTTTCTCTCTCTTGCCTTAGCGGCACCCATTGGCTTACTCTCTTGCACGCTTGCGCCTACTCGCTCTTTCAAATGTTAATTTGAATTTTTATTAGGTTTTAGGCTTTTATTCTTGTTGGCCGAAACTGTTGTTGTTATGTGTTTTATTTTCACTTCAAATTGCAATTGTTGCTGCCGCTGCTGCCGTTGACGCTGGCGTCGACGTCGACGTCGACGTCGCCGTTGTCAACGTTGAAACTGCGGCTGCGTTAGAAAATTGCATTTGACAAAGCTGCACACACACACACACACACGCACACACACACACACACACGCACACACACACACACACACACACACACCCGCACAAATACGCTTTGGTTTTTAGGTCGTGGGTTTAGTTTAGCGGGCGGTTCGGGCATGCAGGACGCAGACAAAAAAAAACCTCTTGAGCGGATGCAAAGTTTATTTTTCAGTTTTAAAAATGGACTGTTTTGTTTTTATTTGGATTTCATTCTATGTCAGTTCCTCTTGGATACGCAGAATATATTTTAACTGTCAACTGATGCTAGCAATTTTTATATTTAAGCTTTCCAATGAGGCTTACGCTTAGAAGAGTTTCTAACATTTGTATGAAATTCTAGATTCTTATATTAGCCCAAGATATATGTCAAGGAAATCAAAACAATTAAATATTTTAAATAAGTTTTCTACAACTAAAATAAATGAGCCCACATCCGGGCAAAGTAGAGTCCGTTTTGTACAAAAATTTGTAAAAAAAATTGATCGTCTAAACGAGACTTTTCTCCAAGGGCTTCCTTGTGCGTTAGTAGAGCTTTTACCACTAATTAAACACATTTTCCCTTGCTATTATTATTACGTATTAAGCCTGTCACATAGGCATTTTTCAAATATTTTCGATTTTTTGCAGAAAATAAATTCAAATGTAACCGACGATATGATCTTCCACTTATAAATTCGTGTGCATAGGATAAAGAACTCACAAATCATGCTCTTAGAATAATAGCAACACGTTCAACATTCATATTATTTGCCGTAAAGGTAAAAACCCAAATACTAAGTGCATTTCAATTTTCAACTCAGATTCGGCCTTTGTTTGCTGACAAATTTGCCAACTCATGGCCGCAACGGAGGCGCCACTAAGAAAACAATTGTCCTTCAAGAATTACCTTTCAGAGCCCAACTGCAATTACACATTCGCACGGCTGTATTTACCGTACGGAAAAGCAATGGAAAAGGGAAAAGTCATTGTGCTGTCAGGAGAGTTGGCGGTGATTTTGAGATCTCGTTTACCGTCGGCAGTCGGCACTGGCATTTTGGCCAACGGGCTCTTCTTTCAGACTCACTTGTGGCCAATTTTTGGGCCGGCACTTTGAATTTTTCATAAGTATTTGCCCCGCTTTATGAGTTATTGGAGGGGGTTGGCCAGCGGGGTCGGTTCGGGGCTAATGGCTAACGACAAAAACGACAAAGAAGTCTTCAGACCGTTTTGTACCCTTTTTTGCGGGCAATAAAAACATTTTCCTTTTTGGCTCGGCAAAAAAAGTAATATAATGAATAATATGAAGAAAAATACTTGGCTTTTTCGCTTGTTGTTCTTGTTGTTGTTGTTGTTGTTGCTGAAAAAGAAAACGCATTAAGTGCGCGCTTTTTCCATTGTTTATAATATTATTGTTTCTTTTTTTTCTGTTTTGGTGTTTTGGTATGTCCTGGCGAAAGGGGATAATTAAGAATGCTTATTTATCTAGAACGGCGACGAATGTGCCCCATTCCCCAGTGCTTGACCACAGCAGGGTGGTTAGCTAAAATGCTAAAAACCCGAAAAACTTTTATTTTTAATGATAAATTGTTCGAGGCCGCGGCTAGAGAAACAGACACAGAAGGCGCCAGTCAGAGGTCATATCAGGAACCACTCTCTGCTCTCACCCTCGGATGCTTTATTGCAAAATCAATAAAGAACTGAACCATCGCCTAGTCTTCTGACTGAATTCTCTGCTAATTAGCTACGCAACTTGGTGAGTTGCAAATTACAAGCGGTACACCGACTGAAGCATTGAAAAATTGTTGTTGTTGGAGCCAAAGTCGTTGCCTGTGAGGCACGCAAATCACTTGTTTTTATGTAATTAGTTGGCTCACTTCAGGGCCCCGGCTAGCGGCAGCTAGACTCTACGATTTTTGTTTTTTTTTTTCGATATTTTGAACTGAACTTTGACTTTGAAGCGTAATTAGCCAAAAACTGATCGTGGCTTACAAGACACCAACACCAACAACAACAACAACAACAGCAACAACAACAAACTGTGGGCCGCCCCTTAGACCAGCCCTCAGACTGTGAAATCTGGCTCTGCTTCGATTGGTACAAAATTCGCTTGGAAATCTTCTCGTTCAATGACCGATAAAATTACCTCAGACTCCCCAATTCTTTGCCTCATCCCTGCTAAGCTCCTCTGGCGATTTGGCTGCTGCCTTTTAGCGGGTTATTGATTATTAATTTTTTTCTCAAACATTTTTTCCTGTTTTTTTTTTTTTGGTTTCTTTTCATTTTTGTTTTAGCAGTCGCTGTAATTACAGCAACGCGTTAATTGTTCACCTCCTCTGCATTCTTTGGCGTTTTGTTGCTTTAACTATATATTTCTCGGTTAGCCGCACGATGTTTTCTCTGTTTGTATTTGTTTTCGTTGGCCCAAAAAACAACATTAGCCGGGCGAGAAAACTACACTTACGCAGCAGCAGCAGCAGCAGCACAGCATCCGTATCTCGACATCCATTATCTACCATTACCATCATTGTCTCTACATTCCCTTCAACAAATATCTACTGACAGTCGTTGGAAATGACTTCAGAGTTCGCGGTACGATTATTAAACATGAGATTTACATCGATTTGATTAATGAATGCAATGTCTTGCAAATACTTATTAACTATTGAAATATCCTATTTCAACTACAAAACGGGAATATTGTCAATTCGATACCGACCGGCTGTAAACTTACTTTTAATATCAAATATATCTACGATATTCAAAAATGTTGCCTACGTTTTGAAAAACCTTTTTATGACACATTTAATAGCGTAAATTTAAAAGAAATCCGTAAGATACTTACCAATGGGTATATAAAAGAATTGCTTATGTCAGCTCTTCGGATCGTGAATCCTTCTTCTCCGTTGGTCTTTTTTTTGTTTCTTTTTTTTTTTGGTCACTTACAGGTCAATTTTCTGCCACACAGAGCATTCAGTTGGAAAAATCACAAATTAGAAAACTTTCTCTGCTGCTTTTGTAAACGCGTGCGATGCGTATTTTTGTATGTTTATTTGTTTGTATGTGGGTGGCTGGGTGTATGAATTTTAGTCGATTTAGAATTTTGGTTTCTGCGAGGCGCCTTTTTGTTTAGGGATGATGCACAAAACACTGCAAACTGCTAAAATTTGAAACAAAGCCAATCAGAATCAATGAGGGGGGCCCACAGTGCAGCACAGACAACAACAACGACAACGACAACCACAACAACAACAACAACAACAACAACAACAACAACGACGACGATAACAACGAACTGCGGCTAAAGCAGAGTAGCTGAAAAAGATGACGTACAGAATGCATTTTGTGTGCTGTGATTTTGTTGTGATTTTAATGTATTTTTTTTCTCTTTTCGGTTTTGCGCTCTGTGTGTGATTTTTCGCTTTTATTAATAAAATGCACAACTTCCGTTATTAATTTTGCAACAGCGGCAATTGTAGTCACAGTAGCTGTGTATGTGTGTGTGTGTGTGTGTGCGTGTCTGAAAGACGACAGCCACTGAAAGCAACAACAACTATTACAAGTGTTGAGCGCGATGTGTCACCAAGGCGTTCGCATGGGGAATCGCAATCGAAATCGAAATTCGCAATCGAACTGCACACATATAAACAATTAACAGGGCTGTAACAAGCGGGCGCCGACTGCGAATTGTCTGGGCTCTACTTAACAGGCAAATCGCGGGTGGCGCTGCTGCTGCGCTCCTGTGCACGCGACGCCGCCGTCGCCTTTGCTGCTGCTGCTGCTGCTGCTATTGCATTCATTCATAAAAATCAGGTTGTAAAAAAGCAAAAACAACGCTGATTTTTATTTATTTATGCCAATTTGCCGCTGCTGTTGTGTGTGTGTGTGCGAGTGTATGTGCATTTTTTTTTGCTGCTGCAGCTATTGTCGTTGTTGTTGTTGTTGTTGTTGCTGGCTGGCTAGCCGCAGGAGGCGAATTGTCACTGATTTTAGTTGTTGTTTATTTTGATTATTGTTTTCGCTTGCATTCGGGCATAAATTGCAAATAAATTATCACTTGAACTGCGGACATGTGGAATGTGTTTGATTATTATAAGAAGCTGAATCCATTTAATTGTAATTTTCGCACTGTTATTCAATATTCAGTTATCGTTCGCGACAATTGAATGCAATTGTATTTGTAATTGAAATGATTATCCAATTGCAAGCCATTCTCGGACTTGGCCAAAAAACCAAAACAAATCACAAAGAAGGCAAAATTAGCCGCACTTCAACCACGACACCTGCTGCCCGTCTGATTGCTGGAAATGTACTGAGAACACCCGCGTAATTTTTTTACTTGCTCTTGCCTCGTCTTGTTGGACTTGCTTCGGCTTGTTGGAGCGAACGAAACGTTCGTTTGAGCCGAACGCCGGCACATAAAACAAAACGGCAAGCCAAAATGTTGCACGTCCAACCGAAACTAGTTGCAACCGAGCGAGCGGACCGGGAAGGTTGCCATTGATGTGTTTGATAGACAAATATCAAAAATAATTTCTGTTAACAGAAAATGTAAAATTTTTGGTCAGAGTTACCTTATGTTACGGCCGGCACAAATGAACGAACCTCTGCTTAAGTCCAGGTTTAAGGGTTCGTTTTTTAGTTCGCCCAAAACATTTGTTATAGAAACTTTATTTGAAATTCTAAGATACATTTTAAATGTACAATAAGGAAAAAGTAACATCCCAGAAGCAATATTCATTGTTTAAAACTTCTGAAAAATTGTAAACATTCTGTTAACATGGTTTTGCGTTTGAGCATAGTTGCAACATCGAACATGTTCGATGCTGGACACTTGATGAAATTCGGGGCAACAAAAAGGTCAGAAGAGGATGCACCCAAACAACTTTATGTACCATCTCACTAAGTTGTTGATTTGTTGTTGCAAATACCCTTTAGCAGCTTATTGGGCAGTATTTGTGAGACTTGGTCAAGTTCGTCTATAATTTGAACCTTCTAATCTGTTCTTACTGGACCTCAAAGTTACTTTAAGAGTGATCCTGTCTGAATTGTAATATTTATTGCTTTTAGGGAACTGGGTTATTCAAAATAAAAACGACAATTCAGGTCACCAAAATAAGCACAAGAATTTAAATAAAAATATATAATCACGGAGATGGGTACTTATAAACGATATAAATGTTTATAAATAAAACAAGCAAAATGCAGAAACATATATATACATAAGTATGTTGTGCGTGTTTTAATACGGCATTCAGATCACACTTAGTTATCTGAAGATAAACAAAAGTTAAGGCCCCAAGACTTGTCGATTACATTTTTTGTTTGCGGAAAATACTTTTAAATCAACAATTTTCCAATCAAGAAATGAAAAACAAAGCCTTTCCTTTTCGTAAAGATTCCCCATAAAAAGGAATCTCAAATGAGTAACTTATTATTTTCCCCACAGCTTCTTACAAAATTTATTTAAAAAACCATTAGATATGAAAATTATTGAAACAAGTTGGGAAAACATCAAGTAAAAATGACATAAACAAGTTTAGAAAGAAGCAAGTACATACTATGAAAAATAAACTTGAACCTCCCACGATCTTCTCTTTCTATTTTTTTTTTTTTGATTTGTGTCGAGAATTAAAACAAAATCGAAATAAATGTGTGTGTACAAAAAACATTTCATTTTTTCGTATGCTATAAAAATATAAAAAGCAAGACAGACATATAAAAGCAAACACACGAATATTTTAATTAGAGTATAGATAAAAAATAACAACAACCATAAGAAAGGCAAACGCGTGAAATGAGTAGAAGCAACAAAAAAAAAAATATGAACAATAATTATACACGAAATAACAAAGACAAAAACAGACACTACAGCAAGATCATATGAGATGGCTATATCATATAAATTTCGAGCTTTCCACAATATTTATAAAAATAAAATTCCATACACACCCACATGCACACACACATACATATTGAAAATGCCAGCACTATAGTGAGAAAAGTGAATTTAACAAAAGTACTAGAGACAAGACCCAATCGAGAGGGGCGCTGATAAAAATAAATACAAATGTCGCCGGCATCAATAAGATATAAATTAAACGTGTACTACAATCCCGAATGTTAATTAGAAACTCACGTTGTGGATGATGCTGTGGATCTACCCACTCCAGGCCCGCTTCATTCCGCTCGGTTTATGCTCGGATGGCAGAGTTCGACATGCTGTCGTGTATCTATTAGATACATTAGCCGCTCTATGTGATCGGACTCTCATTGGGTGGGGGGGCTTTAGACCGAACCTGGAACGCCCCGCGTCAATTCGATGTTTTTAGAGTGTTTGGGTGTTTCTACACATAGATTTTATTTTATTTTGTCGCCTTGCCTGTGCGCTTTTTTTTTGTTTTAGGGGGAGGTAAACTTTGTGTGTGCTGCCTCACGAGCTTAATGACTTCCTGCACAGGCACAAATAGCTAAAATTATATTCTAAAGTAGAACAATTATTGTCAGCAACAAATGTTTCGGAGCAGAGATAAACCAATGTCTAGAAATATCATGATCTTCAAGAATATGTAAAGTTTCTACACAAAAACGTAGTTCGGTTTGTGTGCATGGCTGTAAGAATGTGTTCATGGATCAATATAATTGTAGCCGGTTTTAGCGGACCTTTCATTATGTTTAGCTTAGAAACCACATACAGAAGTTATTCAAAGGTATAATTATCAGTATGGATAACTTATCTGCCGAGGGCTGCTAAAAATACATAAAATAAAAAAATACAAATCAAAATAAATAGTGTTTTTTCTATATTAGTCCCAAATTGGGGAATGTTATGAATCGCAGAATATGAAGATTTTCTATATGATGAACAGACACTATAATGATGCAGAACGTCCGATCTGTTAGTCTGCGTACGTGTACCAAAAACACGCTCAGCAAATGACATTTCATTTATCTTTCGATGAAAGTGGAGGCGTCGTTGACACCGCTTTGGGGCTGCGCATGAGTTATTAATGTCCCGACATTGTACAAAATATGTACACGAATGCTGAGATTTACATGAGGCTCCAGGTTTTAGAGCTTTTCAGTTCCGGTGACTGTGCTGCAGTTATCAATGTGAAAAATAGAAACATGATTATGAAATTATCGAAGCGCACGAATAATGAACAAGTTGTTAGGCACGAGAGGGGAGTGTATTAGTAATGGCAAGAGCAAAAGTAAAAACACGCTGTACAGTGTAGAGGCGAAGATGCTATAGGAAATGGGTGGTGCTTTCGTCAAAGTGAAATTACGCCTCGGCATTAGATTGGATGGAATTATGCTCGTGTAAACGAACAATCAGCCAACGGAGGCGCAATTAAGACCAACGCACACAAACACATGCATACGTGCGTGCTATGTACCTACCTCTACCTACACCTATACCAATACAACGGCCACAACCTGACGCGGCCTACACAAGCAGCGGCTCTCAATATACATGTGTGTGTGCGTGTGTGTGCAGACAATAGAAGCGATCGAGCCATTCAAAATATATACACACACAGATACACGTACAAGACAGAAGACGAACGTCGACGCTCACCTTGCGGCCGCTTATATCGAGAGAGAGAGAGAGAGAGAGAAAGAGTGAGAAAGAGGGAGAGTAGAGCACCGAACTAGTTAAGTAAAGTATTGAAAGAGCGAGGAGGCAGACAGTTTTTGATTTGCGCTCATTTTGATACACGAACCATGAATTTAATTATGATTTTAAAATAATGTTATTTTCCACAAGCGCTCGGAAAGACATGTATACATATGTACTTAGCGTGTGTGTGTGTGTGTGTGTGTGTGTGTAGGTTTATTTATATATGTGTATTGTACATGCATACATGTAAAGTAAGTTGGGCAGAGAGTGAAAAGATATTCGCCAGATAACCAAAATGAGTACGCGCCGTACTTCACGGACTGTGTGTGTGCGTGCTTGAGTTGGTGTACGGCTTTTCTATTATGTATTCGAAACTAACAACAAATTAAGTGCCGCCAGCTCAGTTTAGGCTCTCAAAATGGTGTCGATCATATTGGACAAGTTCCATACT